CCCGCCGCCGGGTGCCCTCCGCCTCGGCCCTCCTCGGGCAGCGCATTCCCTCACTTGCGGCTCCGGGCGGGAGCGCCGGACGCTCCCCGGGCGGGAGCAGCCTGGGCCGCTTGTGCGGGGCCTTTATCGGATTTTGGGGGCCCTCTGGAGCGGCAGGACGGTTTTGTGCTGTTATGTAACCTGGGTTAATCTCTTTCCTCCCGCCGTGTGCAAAGCTGGTGTTAGTGTTAGGGGACCTTCACATCCCACACCGATGCAGTGGTCTACCGGTGAAGTTTAAGAAGCTGCTGGTTCCAGGAAAGATTCAGTATATTTTGTGTACAGGAAACCTCTGCACCAAGGAGAGCTACGACTATCTCAGGACTCTGGCTGGAGACATTCATGTTGTTAGGGGGGACTCGGAGGTAATATTCTTGTTGCTGTTAATTGCTCAGCCTGCCTTCCTGCATGCTGGGGTTATCTCAATGAAACCTGGGGAGCCCTTCAGCATTAGCAATTCCTGAAATGTAATTCACCGGGATAGGAAGTAGGAATGAGTAAGAATCAAGAAACAAAATTACTTTCTAGACCCTTCTTGTTGAGCTTGCAGCAGGGGGACTGGGTGTTGGGGGTTAATACATGAACCTGATTCGTATGAACTCTAGTACAAGTCTGTGTGAATGCTGTGAGGCTGCTGGACTCCCCCAGCTAGGTGTGTAGTTGCAGGAATGGGGGGCTTGTGTGTGTTTTTATTTACTGTTGAGTAGCCTTGAGGTTCCAGTCCAGTGCAAATTCTCAGCTCTTTGCTCTGGAGTTGCTCTCAATGGGGTGTGGTACGAGAATCCAGTGGGTGTGCACATTGAAAAAGATCATGTGCACTCAAATAGTGAAATGAGGGTTTGTGTCTTGGAACACAGGAACCTGTATTGATTAGCTGAGGAGCTAATTTACAGGCTGTACCTTTCTCCTCAGAGCCTGGATTATCCTGAAGAGAAGATAGTAACTGTTGGGCAGTTCAGAATCGGACTGATTCATGGCCATCAGGTTATTCCCTGGGGCGATGTAGCCAGCCTGGTGCTGCTGCAGAGGCAGCTTGATGTGGACATTCTCATCTCAGGACACACACACAGATTTGAAGCATTTGAACATGAAAACAAATTCTACATCAACCCGGGATCAGCTACAGGAGCCTACAGTGCTTTGGAAATGTGAGTGAGGGGAGGTCCTGAGCTGCCCACACCACAGAGCCTGTAGGTGTTACCTAAAATGTGTGTGTTCACCTACAAGTGTCCAGCCACCATGCTGCAGAGTACTGGTGAGGGGCTGTGAGGTGCAGGAGACCCTTCCCGGGGAGCACAGAGGGGCTCCCCAGTTACCAGGGTTTGACTTAGCCCACGTGTTGGGCACGGCAGCCCCGCACTGGTGTGTCTGGGGCGGCTTCCTGGGCCCTCGGGGCACTGAGTTGCAGCAGCTTCCTGAAGTCCTTTTGCTTTCTGGTGTCTTCCCAGAAGTTGCATGCTGCTAATTCATAGGAACTCAGACTCATGGAGACCCTGTCAGCTTAAATGTCTGAGCCTGACACGACTTGGGCTGTGTAGCAGCCTCCAGGGCTGTTCTAGGCTAAGAGCAGCTCTGGCCGACAAGCACAAGGATGTTAATAGCAAGAAGTGTCAGCTCCTTGGGAAGATGGACAAAGCGTGTTTCCTTTCCAGGAACGTCATCCCTTCGTTTGTGCTGATGGATATGCAGGCCTCCACCGTTGTGGCTTATGTATACCGACTAATTGAAGAGGATGTGAAAGTAGAAAGAACTGAGTTCAAGAAGTACTGAATCGAGTTCAAAGCTGCTCGTTGACTTCTCGCCGCCTCTCGTTCCTGCTCTTTCCAGTCCGAGTCTGAGTGGAGTCAGGCCACGGGGGGGTGCTGCTGCTGCGGCGTGTTGGACTGTAAAGCAGCCACGAGGCTCCATGGCTTGTGAGCTTGTAGGAGAATGTTAAGTCTTGGTTCCCAACCAGAACCTGAAGCAGAAGAAACTGCTGATGAAGAGGAAGAGGCCTGTGGGCACTCTGCTGTGTCCGAGGAGGAGCTGCTGCGTTCATGGCCTCAGGGAGCCAGAGAGGGTGGTGGTGGCTCGTCATTGAACTGCTTGTGCAAAAGGAACATAGACTAGTAAATCTCTGTCTGCATGTGTCTGGGTCCTATTCACTGTGGTTCTAACAGGTGAAGGGGTCTGGGATTTGGAGTGAGGGGTCTCCGAGGGCTGAAAGGAAGCTGCTCTTTTCTTCCTGAGGCATTTCAGGGTCTGTCAGGGCTGCCCCAGGGCTCTGGCCGCTTGGGCAGGCGCATCCCACAGCCTGTTTAAGGGCATCAGGGAAAGGCGAGGCAGGTCTGGGAAGGGTGGTTGGAGAGCTCTGCCCGGTGTGTGGAGCTGGGCACGTGGGGTGTTTGGCCACATGCTCCAGAGGCAGCAGAGGCCAGAGCACGTCTCCCCGTCCCTGTGGCGCTGGTGAGAAGCGGGAGCACCTGTGCTGCCGGAGCATCCCTGGCCCCTGGGGTGGGAGGTCTTGGGGCACCAGCCCGCAGCGGGGGTGTGCTGTGGGCAGCGGGTGCTGGCGTGGTGCTGTGGGCTCATGCAGAACCGGCCATGGGTGCGGAGCCCCCCGGAGAAGCACTGGGGTGTGAGGCGAAGGGGAGCGCGGCTGGAGGAGCTGTGCTGCCACAGAGGGATGCTCTAAGGGTGGGGGGTGTGGGGGTGATGCCCCTGGTCGCAGGCCGGGCTGAGGCTGCTGCAGACAATGCTTCAGCAAGGGCAGGTAGAAAAGCGTTGCTGCCATCCCTTGGCACGTGTCTTGGCTAGAGTTGTGTTTGCCAACAGCAGAGTCAAGAAGCAGTTGGCTGGACCCCTCGATCCAGCTGGTCCTTGTGTTGTGGCTTCTGAGAGAAAGCTGCTTGTGGTGGCCTGGTGTGGAGCAGGAGCTGGTTTTCCCAGGTGAGTGGCCCAGGGAGCAGGCAGCCCAGGGTGGCTCTGGTGCCTCTGCTGGGCAGAGATGAGCCTGCAGTGGGCAGGGGGGCACTGGCACAGGAGCTGCCAAATGAGGGGCCACATTTGCATGGAGGAGCTGTGCCCGGGCAGGTGGGCACAGGAGCTGCAAATGAGGGGCCACATTTGCATGGAGGAGCTGTGCCCGGGCAGGTGGGGCTATAAGAGTCAGTTGGAGTTTGCAGCACAGCCCGATCATGTTGGGGACTCGGAGTTGGTGGCATCGTGCCATGGCCTGGCCCCTCTCGTCCACACAGCGCTCGCCCACGGCCTTTGGACACAGGGTGCTGTCACCCTCCCGCTGCCCAGGGAGGGCCATGTTCCTGGGACACTGCCTGACCCCTGTCTTCTCCCCTCTGTCCTCTCCCTCTCTGATCTCTATGTAGGACCTGTTCAGCTGCCCTCAATGTACGTGTCCCCAGGAGTAAAGTGCTGGATCTCATCCTCCCAGATTAACATCTATGGCTGGTACCAGCAGATAGTCCCTGGCATTGCCCCTGTCACTGTGATCTATGATAGCACAGAGACCCTCGGACATCCCTTTGCGATTCTCTGGACCCAGATCTGGCTCTACAGGCACATTATCCATCAGTGGTGTTCAAGCTGAGGACAAGGCAGCCTGTTACTGTGGTGGCAACAATGGAGGCATCAGCTATGATATCTGCTGATCATGAATAAGGAAAGCCGTGAAAGTCAGGGGAAGGTTTTCAGACATTTTAGCTCCTGGCCAAGCATCAGCTGTGGGGCTGAGGCAGGTTCCTGTCCCCTCTGCACAGCCATGGCTGTGAGTGTCCTCCCTTTTCTGTCCTAGAGTACTAGAGATAATTCCCTATCTTGGGACTATTGTTCCTGTCCCCTCAAAGTTCGCAGTGTGACCTTGTCTGACACCCCACAGTCTCTTGCTCCTAATGACCATGTCCTCCTGCTGCTGCTCGAGTTGTCTCTGTGTTGGGATGCACTGGGGTGGGCTCTCCTCCCCAGAGTTTCCGGTGACCATATCTGCGAGTCTTCTCCACTGATTGTGGCACTCCCCATCCCCCTGCCCAGGGATGGCCGTGCTCCTGGGGCACTGGCTGACCCCCATCTTCTCCCCTCTCTCCTCTCCCTCTCCAGGTTCCCTGGTCCAGGCAGCGCTGACTCAGCCGCCCTCCGTGTCAGCGAACCTGGGACAAACTGTCCAGATCACCTGCTCC